TAGTTTTTCTATTTACCAGTGCCATCAGCAATCACCCGTCAACGAGATTGATCTGGAGAGCACAAATCGGCAGTGAACCAGTTAACTGAGAGACAGGAGAAACGAAGGACCCTCATGGTGTGGTGGTGAGTGCGTTAACACTTGGAAAGGGTAATAGCGTGTTCGTTCCCCACCGCAGACACCTGCGGGCCCGGAGTTTTGAAAATATCTCAGCATTATTGTGATTGTTATAACACCTTTAGAAATCTGAAGTAACTACGAGAGAGAAATTTTATAAACCAAGAATCCAACAAAGTACAACGAAACAACGAAAACTAACACTTACTTTTAGGCCCAAAGAAGTGACGGTCGACTTCGAGTAGCTAAATGTGTGACAAGTTTATAAAAATTAATGCAGCTGGACATAAAAATTCCACCAATAAAAAAAGAACTTGGAGTTAATCATTTGGTCTTTACTCCATGTAAGAAATGGCAAAGTTCCTTTATGGCTTATTGTCAACAGAGAAGTTTATTTAGGACCTTATTGCAAACAAGAATGGGACGGACAGCATGGTAATATGATGTCGGTCATCACGGGCACGATGCTAGTTCGACTCCGTCCCAGGCCAACAAAGCCTCTCATCCCCCTGGAGTCGGGGAATTGGTACCGGACTTGTGCGGAAAAAAATCATTCTCTGCAATCCAATTGGGAAAGCTCCAACCCGGCTATCTCAGGACTACAGGGAGAATCGACTCGACCACCATTCTAAGATATTCAAGATGAAACGAAAATTCTCAAGCAGTAGCCGAAGCCACACGTTAAAGTTGAAAAATTTTCGTGGATAATGGATGCGAGGAAAGGAATTTAAAGTCAGAAGTGCGAGGATCCTCACAGTAGTTGTTAAGACGAGTCATATAGAATAAAATAAAATGAAATAATAAATTACACATCAGAAGGCGTCTTATGCCTATATGGCGGTATTGAAAGACTTAAGAAACTTATAAAAACACGGAACGTAAGGAACTTAACTTACATTATTCACCAAGAGTTTCAGGCAGATGACATTGGAAATTTCGCTTAGAACACAGCGTAAGGAATATGTTGAAGGACTGGCAAACAGAGCTCGAAGATCATTCACCAGATCGAATCCTAGAACCACACACTATCATAAAATTTAGACGACGTCTTTCTTTCACACAACTAAATCCGTATGAAATTGTTACCTATTTTTATGGACGAGTTACAAAGAAGTGTGTGGAGAAACAACCTCCACTGACTTTCTACCAACTCTGTTTCTAACGAACAAAAATCAACTAAATAAACAGCATCCGTGAGAGCAATTTGCAACAGGGCAACGCTAAAATGACGATGTCATGGAAACCCGCTAAACTAAACAGAGATTCGAGAAATGAAACTTACCTCTCACAAGGAGCTATGTATTGTGGCTTCCATTCGGAGTCTATGCCAATGTGAGATTCATTTTCGAACTTGTCGATCAATGCTCGAAGTTGACTCCAGGTTCTAACGGTCAGAATGGGATAACCAGGAAGCAATTCAACCACTTCTTCTCTGACGCTTTCTGCACGCGTTTCCAATCTAAAATAAACTGTGACGTACAAACTACAAGTTTATGGGAATAATGCTAGTGATTTGTCGATATTTACTTGGATACTTGGATGGCCCGTCTTCACTGGTTGTGCAGATCCCAGCATGAATTCCATTCTCCGGAAATTTGCCGATTAGTCATAATGTTGCCCTGGAGTCCCGAAGTTAGCTTGACGAAAGTCTGCACTAGATCTTCATCACCAACTGGTAGTCGCCGTCCTTGTGGACCAGAGGGAGATTTGCCACCATACGACCAGTTTGGTACCAGGACGGTGACGGAACCTGGTATTCGTTTTCTCCTAGCTGGGCTTCCTGATGGAGAAGCCGGACTCCTCAGCTTGGGAGACACTGTTAGGAGGATGAATCCCCACGCTGTACATCTCGCACCCGACACCCAAGAACACCTCCCAGTCAGGATGAAGCGGTAAACCATTGGGAAATCTGTTGTTTCAAGAAACATAACTCATTAACTGACTAACACACACCTTCGTATATTTAACTCTGCGTCGTCAAGTGCATTTGGTGTGTTACGAATGTATTCTAACAGACGACGAGGCAGACGTGATTCCCGAATATTACAATATACTGCCCATCGAAGCGCATCCTCACTAAACTGCTAGTGTTTCAATGTCAAAAATGAACCTCAGCATGGAACTAAAGATAAAAACAGTACGATTAGCAGAAGAGAGGACGAATAATGGACATACTAGTTTCGCTGTCTTGTCAGAAAGCTGATGAAATACATCTTCAGCCTCTCATCTCCTTCTCTTAGTACTTCCTGAAGGCATTCGAAATCACAGAAACTGCTAATTGTTGTGAGTAAAGAATACATGGGACGGCCTCCGCAAGAGTTGCAACGATATAATTCTTAGCAAATTCGGTTATAATCATCCATCATCCACACTATACGAAAACTACTTTTGGTCGTATTCAAAAAGGTACAAAGCTAAGGAGAGCTAAGGTTATGTAACCTTTCAAAAATAAATGAATCAATAATATCTGATAGGACCCCCTGTTTTTGGTAAGGCTGCATCTCTCCGCCTTGACTGACACGGAAAATGTACGTAATATGTACGCAAGGAAGTTTCAGCGACAGTATCGCTCTCGTTCAATCAACACGATATTATTAATTCGAACGATGCAGTTACATATTTCGATGTCCTGCCTTCACATTTCGTGCGGATCCACAATTTTATGCAGGCGGTTCGTTTGTTTTGGCCACCGTTACTGGGGTCGTGAAGTTCACATGAAGGCTCACCAGCGACTTGAGGATACATCGTGTTCTCTACTTATTTCTTATTACACTGATTTAAGCGGCCCGTTATCACATCTACTGTGCAGATCCCACCATTTCTCGCATCAGATTCGATTCCTCGCATACAACATCCACAATGGCCTTCGAACATTCCGTGTAATGTTTTAGCTACTTCTTGAGGATTTTGTCTTCTATGTTAATACCGCAAAACGCTATTGGAGTCGATTCTCCTTGCAATCTTGGATATAGACGGGCTGAGGCATTCCAACTTAGATTAAAGGAGAGCGTTGCAGTAGCAATAGAACTAGCGCCTTTGCTTCCTGATTGACGGCATCACTAACCACTGCGGCTGACATGGGACAAAATTCGCCCTTACGACCAGAATTCTTCCATGATGACGATTCCTGCACCGAATGCGACTTCTGTGACCAGTCGACCAATCGACTGAGGACAATGTGACAACCGAATAGTGTCCCATAGTTGATAGGAAAATCTTAACAACAGTGGCTAATAACAAACTAACTCCACGAAAGGGAGCGTGTGGCCCAATGATCGGAAGCACCCAGCAGTACACTAGAATTGACTTCGGCGCCCCCGGCTTACTCTGTCCTCCATACCTTTAGGGTGAGCAGACTGGTATCAGACTTATCTGGGAGGATAGCAGCACTGGCCCGATATATCGGTAGGCAACCACGAGTCATTATGCGTTCAATCACCTCCGACAATGCTTAGTGAAGTCGAATACATGGTCTCTCAGAGATTGATCAACGCCAAGAGCTTTGTCCTTTTTATTTTAACTCCACGATAACATAAACAGGGTGGCGTTAAACTGAATGAAATTGTACGTAACATGAAGAACAAACATACGCTCACGTGTCCGAAATATGCGTCGTCACTAAGTTCTCGAGTAACGAATCTAAACGTATTGATTTAAAACCTCCCAGGCACGAACGTAGCTACAAACCTCGATTGTACTTTAAAGCGAAGTTCGCCCTCCTTTCGAGCACGAAATAAGTTTGGAGCAACCAATTCTATTGGTAATACCAGTTCGGTGGCAATCTTGTAGATCATTTTCTCTATTGTTTTCCCTTTTGAACAAAAAATTCAGTTGCAAACCACAATGAATAAATGGAAAAGAGAAGATTACCTGTGAACCGTTCATACTGCACAGTCATAATTTCGTCATCTTTGAAGTCTTTCAAGCGACTGATCACTTCACCATCGCTCAGACCAACAAAACTGTCCAGGTAAGAAATGAAGTCTCTCTTTAATGAAGTGGTCTCACAAATATCAGCGAGAAAACTGCGACAATAGAATCCAGGATCACCTGTAACCGCTTGTCATTCTCCATGTACTTAAGGACTGAATTCAATTTATCCTGCAATAGACATGGGATCACAAACTCATCCAAGCCATACTCGTGGTGTAGTTCGAATTCCTTAACCACATCCATGGCCTCTTTAAACAAATGTCGGTAGATCATTGACTAAAAATGAGTTCAGAAAGTTATCAAGCCATTCCTTCAATAGTAAAGGACAATAAAAACGAAGTCCTAATTCAGCAGTGCTCTTCTATTGTGGATTTTCAGTTAAAAACTGATCCTACATTGATTTGCTCCTTAATAAATGGTAGTAATTCAGGTTTATCCAGGTAGAAAATTTCTCTGAACAACTTCAAATGAGCTGGCTTAGCAGTAGCAACAACAAGGGCCTCCATCTGGAAAGTATTCAGTACTAAACAACAAGAAGTAGAACATATGAAGAACTCCACCACCGAGGCAAAGAGGCAAACTAACCTGCAACTCCTCAGTGACGTAGCTATTAAAGATGTCAATAGGGTTTTCCTGTTTGGACAACCAACTTCGCAGAGAAGCAACAGTAAGACCTACAGAAGTAGTTATGAGATAAAAATCTTTTAGAACTGCGTGCACAGTTAACGTTTCTCCTATCATGACTACTTCAATATTCTGTAGCAGGTCTTCGACAAGCGAGTGGGCACGTCACTGGTAGCGCCGATCATGACGAGCATAATGCTGGTTCGATTCCGCTCCAGGTCCACCAAGTCTTTGATCCCTACCGAGTTGGGAAATTACTACCAGATATATCTGGGAAAGGTTCGCTCTCTGCAATCCAAGTTGGAACGCTCTAGCCCGGTTTATTTCTAGGACTCCAAGGAGAATCGATTCAACCAGTATTCAATGAGGTTCATAACGAAAAGAAAAACCCCTAGCAGCCACCGAAGCCACATGTAAAAGGTTTGATGGATGATGGCTGGAAGGAAACGAATAGAATGCGAGAAGTGCTGGGATCTGCACAGTAGGTGAGAAAGAAATGCCGTGCAAAAGAAAAATGGCTCACCAGCTAAAGATTTTGCTTTATTTGATAAGTAATCGGGACAAATTTTGTGCAGCTGAAGCATGGCCATGTATGGATTCTCATCCAGCTCATACACAGAGAACAGAATAGAAGTTATCAGTTCATGTTTTAAATCCTCATCTTTTTCGTTCATATACACATCCTAAACAGAATGTCTTATCGATTCTGAAGAAATGAAACATAATGAACCGGCCTTTAGGACTTTGCGCCTTGTCTCGTGAGGTTCGGCATAGGATGGTCTGTAAAGTGCCTTCTTTTCGGCTTTCGTCAACTTCCTTGGTGCTTCGTCAGCTGTCGAGGTGGACGAGACGCTTTCGGCCGAAGGTGCCTCACTCATTACTACAACATTTCAGCCACAGATCTGATTCTCAAATAAGCACTCTTCACCGGTCCTATCACCACCTACCTAAAGTGTGATTCCATTTAAAAGGAAAGAATCAAGGGCATTACTAACACAAGAAACGTCCAAATAGTATGGTACATGCACTAGTCCTTCCTTCAAACATCTCGTCTCCATGTAGCTTAGAAGGCTTTAAGGCAAAAAGTAGTAATAAACGACAAAAAGAGCGAGAAAATCAAGCACGAATGGAACAGGAGGATCTGTCGTGCTTTCTTCAAGTTGATTCACGCTTTGATTTGTCCTCTTAGCGAACGACTTGGCTTAATGATAAACAGGTCAGAGAACAATCATACTCGCTTGTTACCAGTTTTAGATCGTAAGGTTTGCACAGCATCCATTACTCCTTTTGATTGCTGATGTTATCGTCTCTGAAAGTGACATATCATACAACTTGTCAGGTGAGAACAGATGTGATTTGCTAGCTATCTGAAATTTTATTCAATCCAAAAACTTCACCCAGAACAGAAGATATGGGAAAGAACGTAGAAGAAAGAAGAAGAAAAGAAAGAAAGACGTCGACTCGACCAAATGCGACCATGTACCGGTCCTGCATAGCTTATACTGCTTGTATACAGTTAACTGTATTCTCTACATCGATTTAAATAAAAGGTTGCAATCGAATGACATAGGAGGAGATGGGACTCGAAAACAGTGAAGGAATGAATACACACGTGAAATCCTACGTCTGTCCGTTCTGCGCTCCCAAGCAACTTTGGCGCACCAGAAGAACAGGCAGTAAATCTGTAGGTCCCTATTGGAATCACCTGCATGGATAGTGGGAGTTGTAGTGAAAGAAATAGATAGTTATTACTATATTACATTAATTGGTAAACAAAGCAAAAGTGACATTCATTGTAATACCAATTTTCTGGAACTTACTTTTACTACCATTCTTTCGTTCAGTGATTTTCTGGTGATTCTTGGCAGATTTAGCATTGGTGTCATTCTGACGTTGATGAAAAAGGTAAAGCTCTCGACGTTGATCAACCCCTGAGGGATGCGCCATGCATTCGACTTCATTAAGCATCTTTTAGGGGTGACTGAATGTATGTCTATCCCTTACAATAACGCGCGGTGACCTACCGATGTATCGAGCCAGTGCTGCTATCTTCTCAGACAACTCTGGTACCAATTTGACGACCAATTACCAATTATGGAGGTGGGAAGTTTGGTGGGCTATTGGCGTGGGGATCGATTCTACGTGTGTGTTGCAGTGCGCCTCCGACCACTGCGCAACCCGCGCCTTGACGTTGATAATTACAAGTGTGTCACTCCAGTCTTGACCCATTCGCAACTGTGGAGGGTAGCAGTTAGCCTCCATCTTCAAACTGCTACGTTCTAGTCAGAAATTGTTTATGCTTCTATGTTTATGATCACATGGGCTCTTTCTAAAACATTACCTTCCCCTGCCATGTTAGGCAAGTCGAAATTCTTTTCATTAAACTGACCAATTGCCCTCAAAATGTGATCATGAGAAATACGGGAACTTTTTTGATTATTCTAAATCAACCTTAGCCAATATGATATATGTTATCAGCGTTCGACATCAACTACTCCTTGTACATATCCTCGAGACCCTCATCAGACCTACCTTCCACGAATCTTTCCAGAATTCGTTGGTAGGGCTGGAGTCGGTCTCGTTGCATAGATAGATCTGCAGAGACGACATTCCGCAGTAGTCGACGTACGTGTTCTGCCTACACGGATATCCACAGGCTATGGCACTCATCACCTTGAGTATGTGATCCATTCATCCTGGGCGGAATGACCTTCGGACACAGACCGTGTGGCTACCGCGTGGAGTGCCGAGGCTGCTTTCAGGTTTATCGCCCTCTGTATCACCCAGATTCTCTTCTAGACGCTGGATTCTCTGTCATATTTCCTATCTCCATTGAGCATTCTTGATGGCGATACTTTCTACGATGTTTCCTTGTGCTCAATACACGTTTTTAATTTACTATCGCTAAAACATTTGCTTTACACTTTTTCTTACTTTCCTAACTCTTCTACTTGGTTGTTCTATTTTTGTTAACTTCTCTGAAATCGCACACATTGCATTTACACCATTGAGTTTTCCTTGTATCACTTTACTTTACATTTGTACAACGATTCATTACAGTAACCCCATCCCAGACAAGTTCCATACTGAGGAAATCACTTTCCTCGTAATTTTCAACTCCATGAAACAACCTGTCCCTGCATTTATGTTAAAGACAATCGTGCACTCTTTGGCGACCATGCGGGCTTTCAATAGGTCCCGATAACTGTTCGATCATTGGAGTAGTTGAGGAATTGGAAATCTTCCAGTTGATACCTCGTCCTGCCGGTCGTTACTTTCACGTCTTTTTGAACGCAGGTCTGTTTATTTTACAGAGAAAAAAGGACTGATTCGTTTGCTCAAAATGAAATGGCTTCCATTTCATGTGGTAATATGATAAAATTCGTGTGTTGTTGGTAAAGTTGTACGGATGATATCTTAGCGCTTTCGCTTCATTTATTGAAATTCACCATAAACTGGGATAAGGTTGAATTATTTCCGATCATCTATGACTCATAAAGGGGTTGACACAAAATGTGGTTCGATGTGTGTGTGTGCGTGTGTATGTGCATATATGTATCTGTGTATGTATGCATGTGCCAATGTGTATGTTCGGGTGTGTATATGTCATCTAAATCTTTCAATCAACAATAAAAAAATAAAAAAAAGAATAAAGCTCTCGGTGTTGATCAATCCCCGAGAGATGCGCCATAATTATGGATTCGACTTCATTAAGCATCGTTGGAGGTGATGGAATGTATATCAGGCCTTTACAATGACTAGCGGTGGCCTACCGATGTATCGAGCCAGTGCTGCTATAGTCCCAGGCAAGTGTGGTACCAATTTGAGAACCCCGGAGGGATGGAAGGCTTGGTGTGCCATGGGCGCGGGGATCGATCCCATGTGTACGTCGCAGGGCGCCTCCGACCGCTGTGCCACACGCGCCATTAAATCAACAATAGAAAAACAGGATAAGTGTGATAAAAGATGTTACAATATGCAAATCTCTAGGCTATGAATGTTAACTTCTTTTACTCCGGTAAAGTATCGTCAACTTCGTCGCGAAAGTGTTAGTACTAATTGTTGTAAGTTGTGCGGAAATGGTTTGTAGATTAAAATAATGTCCTTTTGGAAGGTTGTTACATATGAAGGGCTAACCACGCTCAAGCACGTCTGCCAGGTAAGTGCTCCTTCAGTTTGTCTGCGGTCGAGACCTCAGTGACCCTTGTGGTTCACGCCGTTGCGCTTATCACTTTTACGACTCTCATCTTTTTTCGCTTCAAAGCAAACTCGTAAACATTGCGACCTTATGGTGCGCGGACAGTTTTGTCAACTTTTATTTGACTAGGATCGAATTGGCATCGGAGTTCTGTGGCCCAGTTTTCAACGTTGATTTTGTCCCTCCGTGATTCTATGTCTATCATCCATTCTATTGGGTCTCTTTAATTGCTATTGGGTAGAAAAGTGCATAATCAACAAAAAAAGAACTGGACCGCCGATTATAAATGAAATTGGAACAATTATTTTTGATTCATCAACATTCAGGTTTGCTAGATTTCAAACACGAATTGTGCTAGTCCTACTGAAAATCGTTCTTCCTTCATCATTTACAGTGATTTTGCCGTTTCATCACTTCATGCGGTCATGTTTCTTCATCAACGCGTTCTATACGGTTTTTTATAACAACTACTGGTTGTGATAATAGTAATAGAGCAATTAACCTTACTGTGTAGCCTTTGTAAGACAAATGCCAGGCATATTCGTTTCGGTCTTACCCGTAAACCATGGAAGGGGATAACGTTATGATGTACAGGGCTACTAGGAGGTGGTCATACAGTGTCAGTTGGCTTTTTCGCAACGTAACTGTTCAGTCAAACGACTGATCACATAGACTTGAATACCTCAGTCAACCGACGACTTTTTTCATGTGACCCAAAAGTGTCCTTTTTACTACTTTCAGTCTCTCCTATTAAACTGATCGGTCAAGTTCTTACTTACTTGAATGGCCCGTCATCACTAGTTGTGCAGGCCCCATCATAATCACCATTTTTCGGAGATTTGCTGGTTGAGTCATTGTGGTTCCCTGGAATCCCGAGGACAGCCTTGCCAAACTCTGCCCCAGGTCTTCACCACCACAGGCAGCCGCAGCCCTTGTGGAACAGAGGGGATTTGCCACCATGCGACTTTGATACCAAGACGATAGTGGATCTTGTTATTGGTTTGCCCTTAGCTAGGCTTCTTGATGGAAACGAAAATGATGGTCAAGTTCAGTAAGTTAAAGTTGTGTTTATTCCGATTAGACGCTTTAGATGCTTCAATTGTAAGATACACCAATCGTCGTTTATGATACATCTATTGGTACTTGTTGGTTTTAACCCGATGTCTTGTTCAGAATAGGAGTCTTTAAATTTGTTCTCATCAATGAAACTTTCTTCAATAATTTCTCGAGTTATCCCTTTGTATCATTCCGGTATCACAACTGATAAATTTTTATTTGGAAAGGAATCATATTGAGGTTTCACAGTAACCAATTTCGACGAGGTGATGCTCCGGTGGTAGTTCCTTCTCTCATTTAAACTATGAACACTTTGTTTAACTCAATGTTTTTCATCAATAAGCAGACACGAGGTTGTTAATATAGAATTTATTAGAACACAATTGCTGACGTTTCGGCGGTTTCGCCTTCTTCAGAGCCGTTTATTTGTTGTAAGTATTTAAGTTAGTTGGTGGAGTTATCGACCATGTATTACTCTGTGCGGCGGCTATCCACCAACTAACTTAAATACTTACAACAAATAAACGGCTCTGAAGAAGGCGAAACCGCCGAAACGTCAGCAATTGTGTTCTAATAAATTCTATATTAACAACCTCGTGTCTGCTTATTGATGAAAAACATTGA